TAGATGGATGCGTGGGTGGATGGATGGATGGATGGATGGATGGACAGGTGGATGGATGAAAAGGCTGAAGAACAGAAGGATTATGGATGGATGGAAAGGTGGATGTAATGAAGGAAGAGAGGATGGGAGGATGGAAAGACAGGAGGAAGAGAGGGGAGGAGGAAGAGAACGTGGAGAATGAATGGCTACTTGATCGAAGTAGGTGGAAGGAAATCACATATCACTTCCCGCCCACCGAGGAAGCCTTCATGGACAGAATATGGGACTCACCTTTACCATTTGCCCTCATTACCCAGCACACTCAGAGGAGAAAACAGACACAAATGACTGTGTCCAATGACTGTGACTGTGTAAGATTCAGTGCATATTTTGCAGTATATCCTGCAGGTGTAATTAAAAAGAACATCCTCTCCAAGATCTCAGGATATGCTATTGCATAAATGTCTTCCCTGGACTCAGGGCCAGTTTGGGAGAAAGCAGCAAAATGGGATGGCACAAAGCCTTGGCGAGGGCAGCTCCATCCTTTGGGGCCGTATGAGCCCCGGGTGGACCATGCTGCTGTCTACACAGGCGGGCAAGTCAGAGCTCCCTGACATGGCAGGCTGTCCTGACAGCAGCCCCAGAGCCGGGTGGAGCAAAAGCTGCATGTCTCATTCAGCTCAGGGGCCATAATCTGTGCTTAGGGAAAATGCACCGGTTTCACCAGGTACCGCAAAGGATATTCATTCCAGCGCTGGAATCGAGCAAAGTTCTTCTGACCTTCCTGGAGCCTAATTTGCATGGACTAAACGAAAAGATCCTGAGAAAACTCTACCTCTTTGAATTGGTTCATTAGTCTCCATCTGCGGCCACACAGCTCTGGGCCAAGCCACTCTCCTCCCTCAACTCAGCTGCTGCTGCTGTGTCGGAATCAGACCCTCAATCCCACTGCTTTTTGGTTTTTTTTTTTTATTTTATTTTTTATGGTCTTTACCTTTTATTTATATTGAGGCGAAATTCACATCATATATAGTAACCACTTTAAAGTGAGCAATCCGGTGGCATAAAGCACATTCACAATGTTGTGCAACAACCATCCCTATCCAGTTCCAAAATAGTTTCATCGCCCCCAAACAAAACCCTGTACCCACTAAGCAGTTTCTCTCCGCGCCCTGCCCTCCAGCCCACGACAACTACCGACCTGCTTGCTGTCCCTTTAGATTTGTCGATTTAGGGTATTTCGTATAAATGGATTTACACAAGATGTGAACTTCTGCGTCTGGCTTCTTTCACTGAACCTAACGTTTCTGAGATTCATCCATGTGGTAACAATGTATCAAAACTTCATTCCTTTCCATGGTTGAATAATCCTATCCCACTTTTGATTCTTTATAATCTATTCTCCACCCAGGCACCGAAGCGAGGTTTTAAAGAGCCCGCATTGTAACATGTCACTCCTCCGTGCCCCCACCCCCACCCCCGCCCCCGTGCTTAAAAACTTCCAAAGGTTTCCTTACAAAAAGCTTCAAGAGACCCTCAGGGATCACCCTCTGGACCATCCTGCCAGTGGAGATCCACTTTAGGCATCCCTTCCTTAGAGACACAGTCCTCAACCCTCAGAACTAGTCAGATCTCCAGGTCACATGTGCTCCTAGCACTAAATGCTTTTCCTTCACACAGTGCATCCCGGTTGGAGTTCTGCTGCTGCTTAGGTGGTTACTGAGTGGATGTGCGTCTCCCCCCACCCCAGTTTGTGCCCACCAAACACGGGATGGACCTGTCGCCCAGCACCTAACACAAAGCAGGCAACCCACGGTTGCAGAGCTAAGACCAGAAGCCAGGCCTATGGACTCTCACCCAAGCTCACGTGCCTCAACTCGAGCAAAGACAACCTGGCACCTTCTGTCTTGGGAGGATTCTAAAGGAATGCAGCCCGGTTTCGATCTACAAGTCAGGAGCCCTGCGCTGCCAGCATCTTCTCCATTAACTCCAGCTGTGGGCTCCTTGAGGGCAGAGGCACACCTGATTTCTTGTGCCACCCCTGGCCTAGGTCCGGCAGACAGCCCTGTACTCCAAAGGCTCTTGAACAGTGCCCAC